CCCTGAGATGTGAACCTCAAGCCCCCCTCCCTTTGGTAAAACAGGTATTTCTAATCAGTAAACTAAAATCATGCGATTTATTCGATTTTCAGTTCGTAACTCACTGAACTGAATTCCGAACTGGTTGACAGGATGACAGGACCATCAATACAAATCTCACTATAACTGGATTTACTGTACAGATCAATATTTTCAACCACTTGCCTGAATCATTTTAATGAATGTACATGGAACACTTGTGGTTAACTCAGCTTTCTGTTCCCAAATGCTGCCAAAGGCACTGAGTCTCTCCAGCAATTCCTGTGTTTGCGTTATATATTCCTGAACAAAGATAGTGTACATCTGCATCTCTCGAGATAACATTTTGATGGCACTTCACTGGAACATTCAATCATAGATGTCTACAGCACAGAAGAAAAAGACCTTCAGATGATCTGTTTTGTGGTGGTTAATAAAAGACAAAACAAACAATTTTAATCCTATTTGAGAGCAATTCACCTACAACCGGTATTTCTTGACATTGTGATTGCACATCTAAAGAAATCGACAGTCCTCTGAGGGTTTCCGATTCAACCAACCTTCCAGGCTGTAAATTCTAGATTCCGATCATTCATTGTTTTTTTTTTCCCCATCGCATCGCCACTGAGCCTTCAGCCCCTTCATTTAATTCGGCGCCCCTCTCCATTTATCCCTCCACCACATTAAAAATCATTTCTATTTACAATGTCTGTCACTCTCATCACTGCATGCATCTCAGTTATCTTCACTCTCAATCTCCTCTGCGCCCTTCCTCTTCCCTCTCCTAGAGCGTGACCCTTATGGTTCAACCACCTTCACCCGCCTCTCTCTCATGAGAGAGCAGTCCTGTGGTCTGCTTGTTTCATGTTTTACCTAATAACAGTAAACGCCCCTGCCTCCAAATTTCTAAAATGACTAATTACATTTTCAAAGTATGTCCAAATATGCATGACAGACCGTCTCACCAAACGCAATTTAATTACGAAATGCTTGTAGTGGTATCATGTACAATAATTTTAAAAAGTGTCCAGGTGTCAATTTCAAATTTCAAGAACATAGAACAGTACAGCACAGTACAGGACCTTCGCCCCACAGTAACTTTGATTTGTTTAAACAGGCCTTAAGAGATATGGTCAAAAGGCAGGTATATGTTTTTAGGCCAAAGATCAATCCTGGGGGCAGCACGGTTGCCCAGTAGTCACCATTACTGCCTCACAATACTGGATATGAGTTCGCTCCCAGTGTTGGGTGACCTTTCGTGCAGAGTTTGCAAGTTCTCTCTGTGTTTGTGCGGGTTTCCACTGAGTGCTCCGGTTTCCTTTCACAATGTAAATCTGTGTTGGTTATGTAGATTGGCCATGCTAAATTGTCCTTGATGTGCAAGTTAGTTCGGTTTGCAATTGCGAGGTAATGGGAATGGCGTAGGGTGCTGTGTCTGGGTGTGATACAGATTCGCTGGGCGAAATGGCCTCTTTCGAAACCATAGGGATCCTACAATCTCATGGAATGGCGGAAATGACTCCCATAGGATGGATAGTGTATTCCTGTTTGTCTGCTTGCAATGGCTCCCTTCGCGAGGACAGCACCATTCCTGGGAATCTGCAGCGTCTGCTTTTTTTAATGCTTTAATTGTTGTGATTCTGACTGAACAATTCAATTTCAGTGTTGAACATAATTTATCACGTCAGGGAATTAATTTCTTGTCATAATTTTCTGCGTTGTTTTGTTTTCAAGAGTTCATATTCAGTTGAACAATGTTGTAACCTCCCCATCCGCAAGGTAATTTCATAGGATATAAATGAAACATATCGAGAAAATATCACTTTGGCTTTGATACAGAGAGAGATTGAGTACACAAGGAATGGGCAACTGAATTAATACTGAAAATGCATCTTCTAATTCAACATGTGGTGAAGATATATTACGTGATTCTCGCTGTCATTGGTGTTCCCGGTAAGTGACAGTAACCATTGAAACTATGCGTCCTTGTTTGAGAATTGCTTTCTGGGGTGACTGTACGATATTTCACGCTGATATCGTGATCACTGTTATATAAATACATGGTCAATGATATAATTTAATTTGATCATGTATCCTTACCATTTTCTGGATTTCTGCAACTGATACTGAACTTCACAAGATTGGACATCTCGTGGAATATTGTGTGAAAAGGCCACAAAGAAAGAAAAATCATTGAGGAAATAATGAGAGGCAGCAAGAGAGAAATTACGTTAAGAACCGGTCCTTTACAAAGTTAAATTCTCTCGTTCATTTGTCAGGGAAGTATGACTATCGAGAGGCAACAATGTAGAGTTACTGTTGTGTCAGAGATAGTAGGAACTGCAGATGCTGGAAAATCTGAGATACCAAGGTGTAGAGCTGGATGAACACAGCAGGCCAAGCAGCATCATAGGAGCAGGAAGGCTGACGTTTCGGGCCTAGACCCTTCATCAGAAATGTTACTGTTTATTTTTAGAAGTCTATCTTAAAAAACGATGAATCATCATGAACATGGCCATATTCCGCTCACCCGCCATTATTTCCTATCAATCACAGCTCTCCTTTCATACTGAGATAGTAAGAACTGCCGATGCTGGAGTATGAGATAACGCAGTGTGGAGCTGGAGGAACACAGCAGGCCATGTAACATCAGAGGAACAGGAAAGCTGATGTTTCGCGCCAGTGCCCATCTTCGGAAAATTTTCTGTGTTATCTCCTTTCATACTGTCAGTTTTCTCCAAATATTGATTATTCTTGTTTTTGCCCTGAGAACAAGAGCAACAGGCAGAGAGAGAAAAAGAAAACAACTTTTTCCTCCGAAATACTCAGCCTTTGTTAACAAAAAACGGAAAATGTGTTTTATTTTGTTTTGCTTTCGGTCTTTTTCCCAGTGCAATAGATTGAAAAAAAAAAGGGATTGGATTCAAATTTTTGGGATTGGCTACACGAAGAGAACTGTCTCGATCATCACAGAATCCCTACAGCGTGGAAGCAGGCCATTCGGCCCAATTAGTCCACACCGCGCCTCAGAGGAATCCGCCCAGACCCACTCCTCATAACCCACCTAACCTGCACATCCCTGATCGCTGTGGTATGTGGGAGGAAACCCACGCAGACACGGGGAGAATATGCAACCACCACACAGATAGTCACTCGAGGGTGGAATCGAGCCTAGGTCCCTAGTACTGCGAAGCAGCAGTGCTCACCACAGAGGCAGCGTGCCGCACTAACTGATATTTCTCTTATTCATGTTGATTAGAAACAGATATTAACTAGTTCATGTGGATCAGTTTGTTCACTCGGCAGTATTGGCTGTTTTGCAATGCAAAGTGAAAACAACCCTGTGGCTTTAAGCCCGCATATTAGCTGAGGTTACCGTGGAAATCTTTCCTTCTTGACCTTTTTCCTCTGCATGAGGGTCGTTACCCTCAAGTTAAACTCACAACAGTCGATCTGCCTCTCTCTATAGTTCAGAACAGTCAGCTGAACTATCGTTAATTTAACCCTTCTCGTGTCAATGACTCAAAATGGTTTCTCTATACGATATATTCTGGATATAATCTTGTTGTATATAATCTGACTATAAACTGGTGTCGTGTGATTTCTGACTTTGCTCGCCCCAGTTCAACACTGGCACCTCCACGTTTTATTTTCTGCCTTTGTGGCAGAACTTTAGCTACGGAGTCAGGTTGAGCCGACTGGACTTGTTTTCAATGCAGCAGAGGATATTGAGAGGCCAGATCATTAAGATGTAAAACCACGTTATGAATAGCACACATTGTGCACCGGGAGCATTTCTTTTTTTTTCCTTATTGATGGGGAGATCAATGACCAGGGTAGATTCTACGTAAAATTCTACGTAAGGGGCAGCCGTTTAGAAAAGATGTGAGGAAAATACTATTTCTCCAAGAGGATGGCGAGGGGTTGGAATTCACTGCCTGCAAGGGTGATAATTTTAGAAATTGCTATAACACTTTAAGAGTATTTAGAAGTGTACCTGCGATGCCAAGGCACACAAGGCAATGGGCCAAGTACTGGTAAATGGGATTAGAATAGTGAAGTCGGAATTGTTAGCCGCAGACACTGTGGGCTAAAGGATCGTTTTCGATGCTGTACATCGCTATGGCCATATGGCTCTATTTGTGCTCTGCAGGTAGTTGTTGTGTTGCTAATCCAATTCAACCTACATAGTGCAGAGAATACGTGAGCGATAGATGCTGAATTTATTTATTTATTCGCCTTATTGAGGGCCATATATGTGCCTGAGATTACTTCTTTATCTACTGCACAATGGATTACAGCTTTCCAACCATGTTGTCAACTTGTCAAAGTGTTTGCACATAGCATCTGCATCAATCTTTGTCATTATCTCTGGGCATGTGCATCATTGAGCAGAGATAATTAGAAGGGCGGAATCGACATAGGAAATTGTATGAATGAGCTCGAAACGAAAGCAATATTAAACAAGATTGCAGCATGCTAATGACGCAAATAATTGCATCACTTTTCTCAGTTTTAGAATGATGCTGGCCAGAATAATTTCATGCCTTCCAATGTAGCACTGTCGTTTTCCTGTTACGGAGAACTCACAGATTTTGAGGTTCTATGTTGCTAAACCTCAGTTTTTGTTTTCTTCAAAGGAATTTATGATGATTTGAATCCCATTGATTACTACTTGCACTTCATAACTTTCATGCATCTGTGTACACTCCTTTAACCTCGAATTCCTGTTTTATTTTTTGATGGAGAATATATCCTGAATCTGCCAAACTCAGGATTGAGTGTATTGTGGATGCGTTCACATTGGAGTTCAGAATTTTGTTAAAAATCGGAGTCTCCCTCCATTTGACCAACCCCTCCCTCCAAATGATACACACATTAGTTTTGCCGCTAACAATTTGGACGTACTGCCAAGTACAGAACAGAACAAACTGAGGTTAGTAATTTCCCGACATTTTCCCCTTCTCTCCTTTGCAGTGAATATGCTAGGAATTGTGATCCTGTCCTGCAGGAATTGTGGCCTTTCTATTTGCACCACTTATTACCTCGTAGCTATGGCAGCTGCGGATCTACTTGTCATTATCACAGAAGTCATGTTGAGACAAATCAGTAATTATTATTTCCAATGGACTTTCCTGGACTTCACCCCTGTGTGCAGTCTTATTGCTGTCCTGGTATCTACAGCCACAGACTGTTCTGTCTGGTTCACTGTCTCATTCTCCTTTGATCACTTTGTTGCCATTTGTTGCCAACAGATGAAAACGAAGTATTGCACCATGAAAACTGCTATTGTGGTTCTATCAACAACCTGCATTCTACTCTGTTTGAAAAACATCCCTTTCTATTTTATATATGAACCTTGGCTAATAGTCAACAATATCCCCTGGTTCTGTTCTGCAAAGCCGATCTACTATACTGATTCTGGATGGGTGGGCTTTGATTGGTGCGATCAGGTTTTAAATCCTTTGCTGCCATTCACTTTAATTCTATTCATTAACACTCTGATGGCCAGACATATTTTACAGGCCAGTAGAGTCCATAAGGCCCTGAGAGGTCAGAGAAAAGGAGAGAATCGCAGTGACCCAGAGATGGAGAGCAGAAAGAAGTCTGTGATTTTACTTTTTACCCTATCTGGCAGTTTTATCCTCCTGTGGTCTGTGTGCGTAATCGAAGTTATATACTATAACATGACAGGCAAAGATCCAGGGGATTACACAGTGTCTGAAATTAACTTTCAACAAGTTGGAAGCATGCTGCAGAATTTAAACTGCTGTACAAATACGTTTATTTATGTGGTGACGCAGTCTAAATTCAGAGAACAGCTCAGTAGCGTGGTGAAATTTCCTGTCACATCTATTATTCAAAAAATGAAGAAGCACAAGAACTGAGCCCGCTCAAAGGCAAACAAACAGCAAGCTCGTCCAAGTGATCTGGCTGCCACCTCCCCTAAAGTGCTTACTCGTTCTACTATTTGACAGATACATCAGGCATTTAAGTGCAAAAGTCAAAAACAAAATTCGCTAACACAAAACGGAAATTGCTGAAGGAACTCACCATGTCGAGCAGCTTCAGTGGAGAGAGAGCAGAATCGACATTTCGGTCGCAATGATCCTTCTTCAGAACTCATACCCATTCTTTAAGTGCGCCTCCCGGTGATTGAATTCAGACAATCTGTAAATATTTGTGGTCCAACGAATATTAAGTTCCGAATTGTTCATAGAATCATCCAATTTCAATTCACTTTTTTGGTGGGATTATGCGTTTTCGAACTGACAGTTGCCTTTTCTGCCTGCCAAAATACAACAATGATACAAATTGTTATCCGCCACTGAGTGTTTTACGGAGCTCAACGACGTTTGTCCCTTCCTACATTTTTACAGGCCGTCAATTCAGCTAATTGGTAAACATGCTTGCAGCTTATTGATAATTCTTATTCTTGCACTCTGATATCCATGGCACTGCACCACCATCTCGTTCTTTGACTGTGCCTGTGCTAGAGTGCGTGCTTGTGTTTGTTCCTGCCCGTATAGGGGTGAAGGTTTTTGTGAAGCTGTGGCTCTGTGTGTGTTAGAGCGCATTTAGCTGATTGTCTTTGGGTTTCTTTCATGTGCATATCTTCATGCATACTTGTGTGTCTATCTGTGTATGTGTGGCGTGTGTGTGCATTTATGTGCGCGTTTCTGTGTGTCTACCTGTGTTTGTGGGCAAAAATTTCTCTGCCTTGTGTGTGTCAGAGCAACTTTATTTGTAAGTGTGTAAATGGATTCATGTTTAGTTGTTCCTCGTCTGTGTGTGTGTGTCTGTGTTTGTGCTTGTTGTCACACTGCGTGGTAGTGGCTCTGTGTGTTTTGGTATGTTTATGCGTCAGTGTGTCTGATTTTGTGTGTATGACTCACTGTGCATATGTCTGTATGTATGTTTGTTTCTCTGTGTTTGTGTGATATTGTATGTCTGTGTGCTCACATAGATGTGCATGTTGATCCATCTGTGTGTCTACATATTTGTTTGTTTAGATATATTTGAGTCCCTGCTTTTGCCTGTCTTTGAATGCATCTGTGTATCTGTCGGTGTCGGCCCATTCCTCACGTTTTGTAGAAGTGGATAGGAGCAGTCCAGGCCTTCTTTCCAGAAAGACACCTTATTGATCACTTTAAGACCATCGTGATTGTATTCGGATGTGTACGGAATTACATGTTCACAGTGAAGACAAGGTGGCTTGTGTCCACAGACTGGAAATTTTGAGTCCATTGCAATATGTCAGGATAATTGCAGATGTACATGGAAAGAGAATTGTCAAGCAGAACAAAATGGATTTCAGGTGTGAAGAAATATATTCTGTGGGGAGGGAGAAGGCAGAAGGAAAGAATGCATTTTAAGAGTTCCACTCTCCTTAAATAACTCACGCAATGACTATCATGGTTAATATTGGGGATATGACAAAGCTCTGTTATTGCCATATAACTTTTACAGTTCAGTGACATTTGCCCACATATCAACTGCCTTCGACTCCTCTTGCTATGAAAGCTACGGTTTGGCTTCTTCGCCACGTGCTGCACCGGCATGTTTATCTTTTGCGACTGAGGTATGAAGTGCTTACATCATATTCCACTCAGTCTCTGCACCCAGGCCTCACACTCAATAATCTCACTCCACTCTCTCACTATCCCCCACTTTGTTCAGGCCCCACATCTCAAACTTCACAGTCACCACATCCCACTTCCCTAAATCACCGTATCCCACACCCGTCAGTTACGATAGTTCACTCCCCACAAACCCTGCATCCTTTTTACTTCTGGCAGTGTATCCCATTCCCCGCCACTTCCTCATCTCACTCCCCTCAGTCACTGCATCCTACTTCGCTTAGTCACTGCACTCCATGTCTCTCACTCACGCAGGTTCTAAATTTTACCGTAGCTCTTAGTCTTATCTACACTGCTCAGACTCGTAATTCATGTGTCCCATTATCTGTAGTCTCTTTCGGGGACAGAATATGAGCGACACGGAGAGCAGGATTAGACTGTTCCTTGAGGTTTAGTGGAATGTATACGTCGTATTTCATGCCTGTACGAATTGCCTTACTTGCTAAGATGAAAGCTGCATGCAAACCTTCAAATTGTGTTGGCAAAGTACGACATTTCCGAACCGCAAAGTGGGTGAATTATAAAATTGCTGTTAATGGCACAATAAACAGAGTTGCAATAGGCTGCCACTTTAATTCGTATACAAAGGATTTAGAACAGTTTCTAATCTCGATCTCTTGGGTCTTGGAGCAGTGATTTCCATCCCAGTTAAAGCAAACTCTTCTGTTTGCTCCTCCCCCAACCCCCACCACCACTTTCCCTTACAGCACGATGTCGAATTGCAATGAAATGTATTAACATTGAAGGGTGTTACTAATGCGGGGAGTGTTAGATATAGAATATCAAACTGATATTATAAAGTCTGGTGGTAACATTTAACCAGCATGTTCTCTTTTGGAACAGTGATCAACTTAGATCACCTTCGTTTAATCCTCCACACACCGTAACTGAAATAACAGTCACAGAGTCAGCTGCTGATCTAATCTCATTTCTTATGTGTAGAATGGTGCCAGCACAGTTATATGGAATCTGCACAACCTCTCTCTGTCATACATTGTTCTCGATCCCTGGAATCTCCCGTTGCACGAACTCCCTGTTCAATCTATTTCCAAGACTTTGAAAATTGGTTTAGTTCTACTAAACTTCTCCCTGACGTTTTAATTGACTAATGTACAGTCACATGTTCTGGCAACCATAACCTCTTTGTATCCTCTCAGCGACATTATTATGTCATCATGTCCTCGTGTCCTTATCCAAAATTTCTCCATAAAACACATAACGCGATTCACCTCAATCCCCTACTCGTTGTGGCAGTGAGTCCTACATTCACATCGTTCTCTGGACAGAGAATTCCCTTCAGAATTCGCCACTCAATTTCCTGCTCTCTCATAGTGATTGTCTCTCTTGATCTTTTCTCAACCAAACTGAAACAGAGCAGTGTAAATGGAGACCAGAATGGAGAACAAAACTCCGACTGTGGATTTATTCGAGGGTGATGGAGAACAGAACAAAACACCGTGCTGTTAGTGGAGAGTGAATGATCGATATGGATTCCAGAATGTAGCACAGTGCTTCTATTAAGGATTAGCAGAAGGATAGGGAAATCAGAAATATGTCGTTTCCCAACAGTGGTGTCATAAATTACGGATTTAAACAACGTTTTCACAACGTCTATGCATTACGTTTCTGCCAATATCACAAGCCCTTCAATAAAAGACATTAGTGAACTTTTACGAAACATGATAGTTTCATTGTCAGCAATCAGGACTAGTAGTTTAATATTCCAGATTTTGAAATAGATTTTCACATCTACCAGCTCTTCCAAAGAATTAGCCTGATCCCTGACATAACTGATCTATTAAAAATGCAACCACACTACTATCTCCCCCACCTTCACCAGTTATTTGTTACATTGCAATGCAGTCCCTCTTTCCATCACCTAATAAACTTGTACCATCCCTTGTTGTTGAAGATTGTTACCGCACTCCTCTCCATTCAAGTACTATTCCTTTTCTGTAAATGACGCTTCTCCAGGCTTGGTCCGACTGTGCGTTTCACACTCGAGTCAGCGAGTTCACTGCCTGAGACTCTGTCACAAAAATGTTTAGTTTTGACATATAGAGGACAGTGAATGTTATACAGCGAAAAACTCTTCCAGAAGCATTTACAAACCTCATTTCACCAGAACAGGAGCAGGAATGAGGGCCATCAGTAATGTGGAATGATCGGAGAAGATTGAAATGTTCTAGGAGAAGAAGAGGCCAGAAGAGATTTGATCGAGATGCTGAAAATGACGCTGAGTTTAGACAGTATAGGTCGAGAGAAACTGTGTGCCGTGGTCAAAATATAGGACGAACGCACAGCGCTGATTTGAGGAGAGTGGAGAATTGTCGTATTTCAAAATGAGGAGAAAAGTTGGAAGGGTAGGCTCATGTCCTCTGGAAAAAAATGTAGATCATGTTGAGAAAACTGACAAGTGTATGCAGCATCTGGCGAGAGAAGGGTAATATGTGGTAATGAGTGGGAAGATGTGATGTTAACCTTTACGTCATTGGAAGCTTCAACAGAACTGAGGGAAGTAAAGTAATAATTTCTGAGCAACTGCAACAGTGGCGCGGCAGAAATAAAATAATAGGATGGTTTCTGATAGGGTAACGGTTGGAGATACATTTTAATGGAACCACATCAAGGGAATTGTGAAAATAAAGCAGAATTGCGGGAGTTTCTCTCTTCATTGCTAAAGCGATTGTCAAGTAGTTCAGTAAATATCACAAGAGCCCAGGAAGTTGCAGCAGGACGAGCCCTTCAGTCTGTTCCATCATAATACGATCAGGCACGTTTTATTTTCAAATCCAAGTTACTGCACATTCCCCATATCCGGCGATTCCATGAGACACAGACATTCCATCTGTTCAAATCTGAAATGCATTGAGAGATGGAGCATCCACGTCGCTCAGTGATAGAGAATACGAATGATTCAAAGACACTTTCAGGGAAGCACGTTATTTCTCTTCACTTTATTGCGAAATAATCTGTTCCTTCTCATCAGATTGTATTGTCATCTTTTAGACTTATAGGCTCGCAGGGAAAAAAAGATCTTAGCATTTACACTGTTCAGAGTTTGCCGCTCAGAATTGCATACATTTCAATTTCCTCATCTCTCAATTTTCCGAAACCTCAGGATATCGAGCCAAGCTATCAAGGAAATCAGCATTGGAGAACCCTGGCACCAAATCGTGAAATTTATTTTTATTACCATTCATGGATTTGGCTCATTGCTGGGTGGATAAGCATTTGTTTCCCGCGCA